GAATCGGCGTAGTTGGCTGATGGTTGTCGGGACGGGGAACGTTGATATGGCCGAAACTTTTTCCGGGACGGGCTTTATCCCACCTGAGTTCACTTCGTGACCAAGGAAGATAAGACTGGGGACTCCAAACCCACATTTGGCGGCATTGATGATAACGCCGTAGGAGTCGAGCCGTTCGAAGAGCTGTCGAAGATGAATCTCGTGTTCAGCAGCGTCAGAACTAGCCACTAGCAAATCATCAATGTAGGCGTAGACGAAGTCGAGACCTCGCAGAACCTGATCAATGAATCGCTGAAAGGTTTGAGTGGCGTTCCTCAGACCAAAGGGCATACGAGTGAATTCGAATAACCCAAAGGGAGTGGTCACTGCAGTTTTCGGAACATCACTGGCCTCGATCGGGATTTGGTGGTAGGCACGCACAAGGTCGATCTTAGAGAATATTCGCTTACCATGTAGCGAAAGGGTGAAATCTTGGATGTGCTGGACGGGATACTGATCGGGGACAGTCACAGAGTTCAACGCCCGATAGTCACCACACGGTCGCCAGTCGCCATTCTTCTTGGGGACAAGGTGGAGGGGTGATGCCCAGCAGCTGTCGGACTGTCGGATGATGCCGAGCTCGAGCATGTATTCGAACTCTGCCTTGGCAATCTTCAAACGGTCCGGAGCAAGGCGACGTGGTCGGCAAGATTTGGGAGGTCCGGTAGTGGAAATGTGGTGAGTGACTGTGTGTTTGATGTCCAATTCACGAAATGACGGGTTGGTCAGGCGGGGAAACTGCCTGAGGAGTGAGTGGAAAGGACAGTCAGAGATGGGCATAACAGTGAGAGGGTTGACGCAGGGGTTCACATCGGATTGACAACGGGCATGAAGGTCGGTGATGCAGTCAACGAGTCGGCGATTCTTCAAATCAACTAGAAGATTGAAGTGAGCTAGGAAATCGGCGCCTATGAGGGCGACGGAAACGTCGGCAATAATGAAAACCCATCGGAAAATTCGACGAAGGCCCAAATCAAGTGTGATGGAACGCTGCCCAAATGTGGAGATGCTGGAGTTGTTGGCAGCTGTTAGACAAAAAGAGCTGCGGGTTTTACGTTCGGCCGGAGTTGGTGGAACCACGCTAACCTCGGCACCAGAGTCGACAAGGAATTTGGCGCCAGCGATACGGTCCCAGAGGAACAAACGGCGAGTGTGGAGATTGGCAACGCTTCCAGCAGCAGTACACTATACTGTCAGATGGGATCGTCTGCCGGAGGCCGTTAGAGATGCCTTGAAAGAGCATGGCTGAAGACATCGGCGAGCTGCTCCTCCAAATTGTTGGTGATACCAGCAGACGCTACTTGGAGATTGTGGACGGCGGGTGTGGGAAACGGAGGAAGTAGGGCGACGGTTTGGTGTTCGCCGCGGGCCCTTAGTGGTAACTGCAGCGAGCTGGGCTTTCAGGCGCATTAATACCTCCTCGAGTCGATCCAAGCGTACGCTAGTTCCTTGAGAATTTGAGTTGATGAGTGACTTCTGGTCTTGGGACATCGCGCTGTAGGTCTCCAGAAGATTGTTGTTGTGGACGAAATGTTTGCGGAATTCCAGTGTTCGGAAATTCGGGGTCACCAATTAGTGGTGGTCATGGATGTGAGATCGACTTAAACCACACACAATAAGTTCGTTTCGTCTACTTTCAGAAGTCAGGGAGCTGTGAGGACTAGTTTATTCTGTACACAGGGCAGGTTGCCGTAAGTTGGCGGTTTGCTTGCAACAGAGAAAAGCGTCCGTTCACGGAGAGCGTCAGTCGCGGTGTGTGTTGTTTACGCGAGTGTCAGTGTCTAAGTCAGCAGGAGGGGGTGACTGTCTGCGCGGTGGTCGTGTGATTGGACTAATTAGGGGACGAATGGAGGGCGCATACTCACAAGGCCTCACGGGAATCAAGCCAAAGCGTTCGACGCGCGTTAGGCGATACTAGTTTTTGAGTGCAGCCGGGAGTCACTGCAGCTGGACAGGAGGTGTCCCGGTTCTAGCCGGCGGGGGTGGTCGTGCGTCAGCGGCCTGTCAGTGCTTATCGCGGTCATCGACCGACAAAAGGGAGCCGGAGAAAAGGGGGATTGGAGCAGCTGCTACAACTTCTCCATGGACAAAAATTCCCTCCTTTTAGGGATTTGGAGGAGGCGATCGCACGGTTTAGTGAGGTAACTTGTGTTTCTGTTTGCGATGGCCAAGTTTAGGAAACTGGCTACCACTTTAAGCCAGTTAATTCCCACAAATTCATCGCCGGCAGCTCTGAGGCCGAGACATTTTTGTTTTCCAGCCGCAAATACGTTTGCGTCCTGGCTTCAACTCGAAAGTACGTTTACATTAACTTAGGTAAATCAGCCACTGCGCAGGCGCGTGGGCTGTGATGCGTTTTTTAACATTGGGCATCGCAAGGCGGGCTACCTTGGCGTAACGTCGTTTAAGGCAGAGTACGGACATGAGCCCGTGCCCGTGGGGCCCCAGCATTCTAAGCAGCAAAGCCCAGGCTCCCGACTAACAGACTTTTGCACGCTTCGTGCTGCCTCACCAACAAGTAGATACAGACTTCCTTTAACCGTGCTTTACAGCGCAAGAACAAACTCGTTTGCTTTGTTCTTTGTTTAAGAAAGTTTTCCAATGCGGGACCTTCGTAAGCTTCGATGGCTTAATGTCCGCGGTAAAAGAGTACGAGAAGGTAAGCCGTATTAATCCTTCGGTTATTTTGTAGGCTTCCTCCACCAGCTTCAGCAGAACTAAGAGCGAAAGACAGCCGGCGACCCATCCGCGGGTTGATGCATTGAAGTACCGTTATGTCTACTTTACATGCTGTCATTCCGGAGTTTTTCGCAGTTGCAGCTCCAAGAAAAAAAAACAGCGTAAGCGACCATCGCTTTGCATCAGGCGATTTAGTTCTCTGAAGTTTGGATGTACAGCCCGCTTCACCGCCGTAGTGATTGGGGACGAATTGCACGTGAAGGCGCTAAATTTGCGCCACAACCACGTATGCAGTCGACAGATGGCCTCCGCCTACCCCAAGT